CAAAGCATTATAGACCGTTTCTCTACTTGATTACAATCACGTGATTCCGTGAATAATATTCACGCTGTCACGTGACTACTGCGCACATAGACGATGTTTTATTAATTAATAAAGTTCGCCCACATCAGGGCTTTATCTTAGTTTTAACAATGTATCCTACATGTGGGTGGTGGTGTGGGTGTGTGAAGTAATAAAACAAATTACCAGTATACAAACAATTATAACAAATCTAGGCACTTCGCTAACAACTTCTTCGTTAGAAATTTACCGAGAGCAAAGAAAAAACTTGATGCTGGGACTCTCATTTATGGCCTAAGATCCAAGAACTCGTTTATTTCAATCATTACACTCCTTTGGTCTTCAATCTATTATTTTTACAATTTTTTATTCATTTTTTCTTAACAGGCCGGCCTTCCTCATATAATAAAGATTTTATTTTGAATTTTTTAAACATGTGCGTGTACATATGTTCCCAAATATAAATTTTGCGTTCGCTTATTAATGAAAAATAATTTGCCCATATCTGGCTTGTAATAAAAAAATTAAGCATCAAACAGTATCTTAACCAAGTATAGCAAGTTTTTTATTTGTAATGGTATTAAAAAGAGCTTTAATAATACAAGAAACAAATGTTTCTTTCAATATTCATTTAAATTGACAAATAATTTCCAATATACTACAAGACATTAATCCATGATTTTATTTTACCTGTTTCATTAAAACCGCTTTCTGAACTTGATATAGATCAATTACAACATTAGCATTATAAAATATAGGAAGACCTAAGGGTCCTGTATATCCAATTCTCGGAACTGGTGGATCGTAAAATATATCGGCAACAGGGATATTGATTATGAAATTCGGATCATTCGCAGTATTACAGACATTGGTGCCAGGAGTAAACTGATTACCATTTTTATCTACGGTCCCAAAATGCCACTATTATATAAAGAATCAGACTTTGAGCATCACAAGAAGTAAAGAGTAGAAAATTTTCCTCTTAACATTCAATCTTACCTTCTGTTTTGCGACTCCTTGTCGCCAAAGTGTGGCCTAATATTTAACAATTTAAATATAAATAAAATAATATAATAATTAGAATTATAGATTATTAGACATACCTTCATTGCCCGCTCTCTATTTCCTGATGCGTCACGTGAGGCCAATACATCGTAGAGCTTTATGCCTAGTATGGATCGCACATATGTCTGTCTTCTCCAAAGTCTACACTTTTCCTTCAAGTCAGTGAAACTTTGAGTAACGGCTACTTCAAGTATTACTCTTGCATAAGGGTTTCCCTATATTATCAACTACATAAGTATTATTTAGGGTATCACGAAAAATAAATAACAGATCAAAGTACCCTGCTGTCGCTGGGCGGTGGACCAGGGTGCGGGACGGGAGGATTTGGAATTAAACTAGGATGTGGATAAACTGCAAGATCCGGTGCTCTGTTAGATCCATCTGGTGCGACATGAACTTTGGAAAGGATATGATAAAATATTAGAACACAATAAGAGATGAGAGATCAAGTAAACTGGGAAGAAATTCCCTTACTTGGTTGCCCAAGAATTTGTATCGGAGCATCAAGGGAGCTAAGAGCGTTAAAATTACCGGTATTAACAGTAAAAGAGATAGCACGGAAATAGTTTCCAATCAATTCAACAACAGCTTCATGTTCAGGCGAAGCCATATCGACTATATATATTGTACCCTTCTTATATTCAAGCTTGTATCCACTCATCTCTTCGCTTTCAACGAAAGTATTGTATTCTCGCAGTGAAACGTTTGAGGCAATCGGAAAAGGAAGACTGCAATTCACACGAGTCAGCATGAGCGAACTTCAATACAAACTAGTACAATGTCTACTCACCTGCTTTCGTCTAACGGATTCTTTGGTAATTGAATCTTCGCTGACGAAAACGCCTTCTGAAGGACTTCTATAAATTTATTATGAGGCATTTTATGGTAGGAGGATTAATTATTAATCGAATAATAACGGTGGCTTAGCTATATGCCAATAGATCAAGGGAGGTGAAATCTAATTGGCCGATCATCTATCGATCCGCGGGGTGAGAATGATAGGCTATCATATCATTTTTCGAATTTGAGAAAAAAGCCTGGGAACTCGCCAGCTCCTGGAACTCTCCTAGAACTATCGAGGAACTGGCAGGGAGCTAGGGTGATACATGTGATATGATATACGTCATGCGAGGCTAATCCCTGTTAATCATGAGAGATCAGCTAAAGGATTTATATAAAATTAGCATAGCCGAGATATAGCCCTATATAAATCCCCGATATGCTTGTAATCGAATAAAAATGAATCTGATATTTATTATAGTATACTTGTTACAAACTGCTACAAATCATTAAAATCACTAAAAACGATATAAATAGTTAAATAGCTAAAATCAATAAATATGGTATATTCTGATCCCTTTGTACATTTAAGTATAACTGATTCGCATGTTAACTATGATCTTCCTAGAATGCGTGGAATGAGACTCCATCAGATTGGAAAGATCGAATTTGGGAAACATTAATGGTATATAGAAAAAATCATCTTTTAACTGATTATAATAAGAGATATCTTATTGCAAGAAAACAAACATATTTATTATATCAGTGTAATGTTTGGTTCGGAGTAAATATAGGAATATGCTATTCTTGTAATCAGCTCGTCTATTCCAAATTAGGAAGTGGGTATGAGTATTTCCATGCATTCTTTATGGATAAGCATTGGCGTACAAATTGTACTGGAAATGAATATTGTGATATGAGCTTCGAAGACTACATGAAGCTGAAAAATAATCCTCCACCTTGCTATTTCACAAAGAAGGCAATCCGTCGATATGAGATGTGGTTGGAAAATGTATCAAATAGGATTAGACATATCAGGCAAAAGCATAAGGTGCAAAGTAATGTAAACACTACGCCTCACTACATTTATAACCAGCAAAAAAATATCTGTATGAACAATACTTTCTTAACTCCTCCTTTTCCGAAAAAGCCTGTCCAATATCAGAGATACTACTCCCAAAGGGAATCTTGGATGGATAAGCCACGTTCATTGACCCCTCCTCCTTTGCCACCAAAGCCTGTTGCATTAATGGGCGGTCTTGAGAGATATCCTATGCGACGTAGTACAAGTGCACCTGAAATTTCGGCCTATAGATTTGAGAGAAGCCGTGTCTTGATTGATGCTGAAGAATATTTTAATTCTGTTCGAAATAATGCAAATAGGAGATAAAGCTCAACTGAATAATAACATTATTTATCTTAACTATATTTAGCCAAAGGCGTGATGCATAACTTATACTTATTTTTTTTTGCGCTATATAATCTGCATATATGATCGCCTAGTATAATTATGAAATGTACCACCTGCGGGATAAAATCATTATGCATGGTCTGCCTATTCTGGGTTAGATCCTAACTATTTTAGTGAAGTATTACAGGAAGATCTATGAAGCGATCTTGGGGATTCTTGATTGCAAAACGATATAACTATCAGTTTGAGAATTTCTATGCAACAGTTATCCAGCGAGCTTACAGGAATTACAAGAAGAGACCTGAAT